TAATTGAACTAAATGTTTTCAAAAGGTACTTGGCTACAAACCATAATAGTAACATTTTTTCAGTGTTACATTTGCTATTACTATTTTTTCAATATTTTCCCTCTTCTTTAATGTACTCTCATATATTCCTTTTTGGAAGTGTAGGTTGTTTGGTACTCTTCTTACCAAGTTGGATGTGGAATTGCCTATTGCCCCAATCAAGAAAGTCTAAAATACTACTATGTTTGCCAATATTGTCCTGCGTAAGTATATACTTTAGAGTTTCATGCAATAATCCTATGTACAAATTAATATTTTAAAATTCTTAGATAGTAAACAAACTAGAATATAAAACATATTTCAGTAAAGGGAAGGAATAAATCCTTTTTTTCATTTTTTTTAAATTGATGCATAGTTCATACACAATGTCACCTTAGTTTTATGTGCATGACATAGTGACAGGTCTATACCTTGTGCTATGTTCACCACATGTGTAGCTATCAGCAGTCACCATAGAATGCTATTATAACTATTTTTTTTATTTTTTTAAAGATTTTTATTTATTTGTCAGAAAGCACAAGCAGGAGGAGCGGCAGGCAAAGGGAGAAGCAGGCTCCCCACTGAGCAGGGAGCCTGATGTGGGACTCAATCCCAGGACCCTGGGATCATGACTTGAGCCAAATGCAGACGCTTAACTGCCTGAGCCACCCAGGCATCCCATGCTATTATAACTATTACAATACTATTGACTATAGTCCCGATGCTGCACTTTTTATCCCCATGACTTATTTATTCCATAATCGGAAACCTGTACCTCCCACTCCCCTTCAACTATTTTGTCCAACCCCCATTGCCACCCCTCTGGCAAACATCACTTTGTTCTTGTACTTATGGTCTGTTTCTGCTTTTTATTTTTTTGTTTATTTTTTTTTAGAATCCCTATATAAGTGAAATCATATGGTATCTTTAACTGTCTCTATCTAACTTGTTTCACTTAGCATAATATACTCTAGGTCCATCCAGAAGGAATAAATCTTTGGAAATGCCTTTTAAGTTGAGATACATTCAACTTATCAGGGAAGAGACCAACTTCTCAAATCCAAGTATAAAATCTGAAACTCTCTTTCCTCAGTTACAGCATGACATTTTTTCTCTCAGTCACCTTTCCCTTGGGCTCACAGCTATTCCATGAGCCTGGGCAGTGTGCATTTCTCTAGATCTGATATCATCAGTTCTCATCAACTTCACACTTTAGGAGGGTAGCAGCTTGATGGTTAAGCAAGAGAAGATAATGGAGTGGAAAGTAGGGGATGGCAGACTTGATTTCAGCTCTTCCTGCTAACAGGTTCCTTGCCCTGCTTATCTAAAACACCACCTACATTATTACCATCACAGATGATTCATTCTTTTGCATCTCAACGTTTTTTTCAAGAGATCTTCAATGTACTTCAGAATCCAGAAAAGAACCACATCTTCAGTCTTTGCTTTTCAGAAGTTTTCACAAAATCTCCATAATGAACCATCCTTTAAGGTCTTGACCAGTAGCAGGAAAATGTTCTTTCATCAAGGATTATGTTTGAACTTACCTACAATAAATTCTGTGGATATATTGAAGATCTAATCTCAACTTATCTGTTAAACTTAACTTCTTTTAATGTTTGAAGCTTCTTGCCCCTGGAGACAGGGGGACCCCTAGAACCAAGGCTCCTAGAGGATTTATTTTGAGATTGTAGATAACCTGAGCGTATGGATCTCCAGGGTGAGAAATATGACCTCCAATGTCATTTTCATGCAAGCACTTCTTAGGGTTTAATAGAAAGAATTGAAAGGTCCTAGGAGAATGCATCCAAACTCACTGGCTGGCTGTAAGAGGGGAGGATCAGGAGCAAGGCATCTGAAGTGAGAGTTGGAGTGAATAATGAGGGCAAGCAGGGGTGAGAGAACTTCCAGAACATGTTTGTGTCTATTTCACATTTTTCCAGGGGCTCACACATGGTCAGTTATATTCTGTGAAGAGGTGAGATTCAGATGCATGGCCTTGTGTTCTTGGCCCACTTGATATTATTGAGATTTGGATTCCCTTGTAATTCAAATAAATTAAATGGCCAATAAGTAATGATCATCAGCAAGTTGTAAGTTAGTCACTATAATGTGATTACACTCTGGATATTCATGCTTGTCAAAATTTTTGAACGAACATTCCCTTTTCATAAGTTTAAAAATCTCTCAAATACCTCTAGAAGCTCACAGATTTCTTTTTTCTGCCTGTCCCAGAAACACACACCACTAACTACTTAAGTATCACTACCTCCATCTAGAAGGTAAAATACTATACACACACACACACACACACACACATATGTATGTATATATTAAAGCTATTTATATATATACTGGAGTTTACTGTTCCTAGATTATATTAGAGAAACTTGGTATTTTATTATCTTTCAGATATAAAATGATATTGTAACATTAAATATTCTTTTCCAAACTGCAACCTCCTGCCTCCCAGGAGCTCTTTTGTCTCTCTAGGGAATATATTCTACCTCTAGCTAGCACATTGGGCTGTACTGCCTTACCAATTTGATCAAGTCTACTAGGAGATTAAGAGAGTGTGGCCACACTGAAATATACTCTGAAAACTTCAGACTCCATTTAGTCTGATTTAGTTGCTCAGTCTGAAGAATTATAGTCAAGAAGATGGGTCAATATGTGAAGCATTTTCTTAATTTGAATGTTATTTGAATTACTCACTAGGAATTGTAATTTTTCAGTTTTTTAACATAACTGAAAACATTTGTAGTTATGTATATTTGTTAGTTTATACTTCCCTTGGGGAATATAAACTAAACTGTAAAGTGAAAATATTTAACATTATGTATTTTAAATTTCAGTGGCAATAATGTGAGTAAAAAGAATACCCCTTACCAACAAGGAACACCTTGTGCTAGTTGCCCTGGTAACTGTGACAATGGTCTATGCAGTAAGTTTGAAGTGATCACCTTGCTATTATAATAAAAAGTTGATATTTTATTTTCTTTTTATGAGCTAAGAAATCTCCTAAAGTAACCAATTTAAATAATATCTTTATGTAGAAGACAAAGACGTTACTCAATATAGTGTGTGTTTATGTAAACATTTTACACACTTTAGTAACCTACATATTATTTGTAATGAAAAGAATATTACCATATGTAAGATAATGAAAGATCTTCCATCAACGTATTTTTTAAATTATTATTTTTATTATTTTAGTATTTTAGTATTATTTTTAATTATTATTATACTACTTTTGTGCTAATGAGTTCATTATGCTGGCTACTTCTTTTTTTCTATAGTATAATTGGAATAGTGTTTAACTTAATAAATAATCACTTTCCTTATAATTTGATAGTAGTTTACTGCACATTTTTAATGACAATATCAAATCTGTATATAGTGTTGACTCACAGAAACCACAAAAATATTGTTGCAAAAGGAGAGAAAATAAATGTCATATATATAATTTCTAATGTTGTAATGAATAGAAGTAAAAATAGCTCTTAGCTTTTTATAGTTGGGATACTTGTATTAAAATTGTTATGAATAATAGAGTTGAATGAATCTCATTCATTGAGATTTTTACCTTTCAAATGCATTCATCTTTAGTTAGCATTCTTTTTTTTTAAAGATTTTATTTATTTATTTATGAGAGACAGAGGGAGAGAGAGCGGGGGAGAGAGAGAGAGAGAGAAGCAGAGGGAGAAGCAGGCTCCCAAGGAGCAGGGAGCCCGATGCGGGACTTGATCCCAAGACCCTGGGACCATGACCTGAGCCGAAGGCAGACGCTTAACCATCTGAGCCACCCAGGCACCCTTTAGTTAGCATTCTTACTGACTGAATTATATACCTATAATTCAGAATATTGATTACATTAAAGCTATAAATCAGCTAAAGAAGAAAAAAAGTTACATATTTATAGCTCTGCTGAATGCTATTTGGTAAGAAGCTTTTAATTTATCCTATTATCAATAAGCATTCAATTGAAAGATTTTAAACAAAAGAGTGACAGGATTGGAACCATATTTTATAAAGAGCTTTCTAGCAGTAGTATGGAAAAGCAATTGGATGGAACCAGCTAGAAAACCTTGAAAACCATGGGTTAAAAAAAAAATCTTTCTACTGCATTACTGACAAAATAAATGAAGAGAATTGGACAGGGCTGGAAAACAAGAAATAGAATAGCCAGTGTTCGTTACCTGTGCTGACTGAGTGCTGGTCAGAAGTAGGGAAGAAGGAATTCACACTGATCCAGTTCTTGACCTAAATTACTGAGTAGTTGGAGAGCCATTTCTCTGAGATTGTGGGAGGGGGTACAGGGAGACCATACCCAAGAATTGTCAGCCATGTGAGTAGTATGATGAGTTTAGTTCGATGTTTGTTGAGTTTGTGGCCCCTGGGGAGGATCCAAGAAGAAATACCATATTATCATTGTTTTGCATCTTTATCTTCCCATAGAAATTCCTTTCTCCAGAAAACAAGCATTGGAGTCTAAAGCAGTGCTGTTCAATAGTATGAAATGAAGGAAATGTTATCTATCAGCATGTGTCTTACAAGTAACCACTAGTCACATGTGGCTTTTGAATACTTGAAATGTGGCCAGTAAGATTAAGGAACTAAATTTTTTACTTTACCTAATTTAGAATAATTTAAATTTAAATATCTACATGTGACTAGTTGTTCCCATATTAGACTGCAGGTGTAGAGAGATTTCTTTATATTTATCTAACTTTCTTGGCTAAGGGAGAAAAATAGGCCAATTTATTTTAGAAACATTTTGCCAAGTTCAAAATAAAAAAGTGATAGTTTAATCAGTGAGCTCAACTAAGGCACCTGATATGTCCCTCAAGAAAGGGAAAGCCCATCATTGCATAAGTGATGTTGACTTGTTTTGTCCAGCCCTACTGGCCTCATGCACTTTTGAATGTATGATTGTTTTGCAGCTACTGAGGAATATGATAATGAGAAATTAATTTGTTTTTGTCACAGCCAACAGTTGCGAGTTTGAAGATCTCCTTAGTAACTGTGATTCGTTGAAGAAAACAGCTGGCTGTGGACATGAATTGCTTAAGGAAAAGTGCAAGGCTACTTGCCTATGTGAAAACAAAATTTACTGAGATGCCCAGTGTGCATTGCACAGGACTAAGTGAAGAGAGTTGCATCATCTTATTGACACATACCACAGGGGAAATTGTAGGCATGTTAGTTACAAACATGGTTCCACTCCGTAATTCATCTTTTTCTCCTGGATCTATAGAAATGTCTTCCATACAGCAATTTACACAAGCAACGAAGTCTGAGGACAACTTTGGACTTCGATAGAAATTTGGTACTTTAAACAACAAATTGAATCAAATTGACAATTTTGAAAGTTGTAGAACCATAGACCTTCGGTCCCTAGAACTTTGGATTAAAAGGGAGAAGTACATGTTTCCTGAAACAACATGCCAAAGAAAAAGAGTGAGAGAGAGACACTGTAACATCACTGTCATTCCTACTAGATGAGTTTTTACTTGAATAAAAAATAAATTCAAAGATGGACAGCTACCTTTGTTTCATGGCTCTTTAAACAAAAGTAATCATCTTTTAGAATAAAAAACTTATGTAAGCAACCACATGAATGATTCTTGTGTGATATTTTCTACTATTTATAATTCATCCCAGCTAGACTCAGCCCAGATAAATGATAATGTGGTACAAAATTTCCAAAACATTTGCCTACAAAATTAAATTTTAACAAAAATAGGAATCAGCTTTGTTCTTACTTATTTTTTGATATTTTGATCTCCTCCCTATAGGTTTGATCGATAAAATAAAAGAGGGCATTATCTGACAGCATATACAATATGGACTTCCAAGAAAAAAAAGTAATGATATGTCAGAGAGATTTATAATTTAAGATTGATAACAACAGAGTGAAGTAGGCCCATTTTATAGATGAGAAAACATACACACACACACACACACAAATCTAAAAAAAGTGAAGGAAGTGTTGAAGGTAGTCAAGAAATAGGTCTGGCCAGAGAGATAGAGAACAAGCATTAATTACTGGTGCCTCCAAGATGAGACAGAGTATATGTATCACCCTATACTCATTAAAGAAATTAAATTCACAATTTTAAAGCTTCCCAAAGGGAAATTTCCAGGCCCAGATGATTTCAGGGAAGAATTATACCAAACATTTAAAGAACTAATACTAAGTTTACACAATCTCTTCTAGAAAATTATGTAGGAGGAAATACTCCTCAATTTATTCTTTGACACTAGTATTATCCTCCTCCTAAAACCAGAGACACTGCAAGAGGAAAACAAACAAAAAACCCCTACAAATCTATAGCTGTCATGAGCATGGTTGAAAATATTCCAAATAAAAATTTAATAAATTAACCCAGCAATATAGTAAAAGGATAATATACCCTAACCAACTGGGATTTGCCCTATGGATGCAGGGTTGAGCTAACACTTAAAATCAAACTGTGTTCTACTATATTAACAAACTAAAGAAAATTATGTTTACCTCAATAGATAAAAAGAACAAGCATTTGACAAAATCTAATATCCAATCCTAATAAAACTCTCAGCAAATAAAAAAGAGAAGGGAAGTTTCTCAACTTGCTAAAAAGAAGCTATAAAAAAAATGTATAGCTAACACTGTAATGGTGAAAGACTTGATTTTTTCTCCCTCTAAGATCAGAAAAAAAGGTAAAGATGTCCACTCTCATCACCAAGCATTGTGCTAGATCTGGCCAATCAATCAGATAAGACAAAAGGCATCTAATTAGAAAAGAAGGAGTAAAACTGTCCTTATGCACAGAAGAAATGACAAAATCACCAATCTAGAAATAGACATACATATACAGTTGACCCTTGAACAACACGAAGGGGTTCAGAGAACTGACACCCTGCACAGTTGAACATCTGTGTATAGCTTTTGGTTCCTCCAAAACTTAACTAATAGCCTATTGTTGACCAGAAGCCTTATTGATAACATAATTAGTAGATTAACACATATTTTGCATTTATATGTATTATATACTGTGTTCTTACAATAAAGCAAGCTAGAGAAAAAATTTTGTTAAAATCATTTCTGTATAGTCCTGTACTGTGCAGTACTGTAAATGTATTTATCAAAAAATCCATGTATAAGTGGACTCACACAATTTAAACTTCTGCTGTTCAAGGGTCAGCTGAATATGGAGAGCTGATTTTTGACAGTGGTGGGGAGGCAACTCAATGGAGAAAGAATAGTCTTATCAACAAAGGGTGGTGGAAAAATTGATGTCCATATGTTTAAAAAAATGAAGTTTGATCCAGACTCTTGCAGTGTACACAAGAAGTAACTCTCCAATTTATCACAGACCCAAATAAAGAAATTAGAAAAAGTTTAGAAGATGTGAGAATCTGCAGACATATTAAAAAGTTATACACCTACTCCATGATCCAACCTTTCCATTTCTATATGCCCATGAGAAAAGAAAACATATATCTCTTCAAGACTTATACTTCAGCATCCATAGTAGGTTTATTTGTAATAGCTAAAACCTAGAAACAATCCAAATGCTTACTCACTGTAACTGGATAAACCAACAGCATTGACCTCAAAGTTATTAGGCTGAGTGAAAGAAGACATAGAAGTGTACACACTGTGTGATTCTATTCATATAAATCTAGAAAACGCAAACTAAACTATCGTGACAGCAGATCAGCCTTCAACTTCCTCCTTTATAAAATGGCTATAATCATTATATATGATAAGAAATCTAATGATATAGGTAAGAATTTAAAATGTCAGTGTTGGTTGCAGGGTGATGTCAGCAAAAGAGCAGCATAAGAATTTCAAGCACTCATCCCCTACCCAAAAACATCATTTACAAAAATACCTTCGCAAGAGTGAAGGATTCTAGGTGAGGGATACAGCAACTGGGTGAAGCACAGAAATAAGAAAAGACTCAGTAAAGATTCACAGTCAGCCTCCTTCACTTCCCCCCGTCCTGGGCAGCCCAGCATGGACCACAGGGAAAGTAGAGTGAAGTGAGCACCTGACTTCACCACAGATCTCAGAGTTGGCCCACTTCAGCACCAGGCAATCTCCTGAGGACTAGGGAGCCCCTAATGGACTCTTGCAAACCCAGCCCCCAGCTCACTCCAGTGTTGCTGGCTCCAGAGGCCCCAGGTAGATCTCAAAGCTCAAGGCAGCTTCCTTGGCTCCAGGTTCCGCAGTGGGCCCCCATGAACCTAGCCTGCTGATCTACCCTGGCTTCTGTTGGCTTCCACAGCTCCAGGAAGCTCCTATGGCCCCAGAATCCTGGCAGGCTCCTTTGACCCTACACAGCTCCTGGGGCACCAAGTTTCCAGAAAGCTGCCAAGAATTTAGGCTCCCAGTTCATCCCAGCAGCAGCTTCTCCCGAGGTCTGGACATCTCTTTTGGTACCAGGCTCCCTGACAGCCTGGCTCACCCTGGCTCCAAGCCTCGTCTTCATGGAGTTCACATTCTAGTGGAATCTTGTTCATTTCACAGTTGTATTCCCAGGCACCCGGCAGAATGTTTCACACACAGGAGACCCTCAACAAATATTTGCGTCATAAATGAATTATATCAATGAATAGGCCAACAAGTAAACTATATATTATACACCGTAAGTGTCATAAAGAAAACAAGCAAGAACTTATAATGGAAAAAAGAGAAAAGGGGGGCTATTTAAATATCATTCTGTCTTTGAAGGCTTAAGAAACAGTACTAGGCTTCATAACTTTGTTTGCGGGATGCATATTCTCCATGCAGACTCCAGCTATTTATATTGTCGTTCTACCACATACTAAAACAGACAACTGAGAATGAGGGGGAAAGATAAATTTAAATTTTAAGTTTACTTGTGAATTTTTGTGGAAATTAATGGACTATGTAGGCCTATAATGAAAATATCGGAAGTACAAAAATGGATTAAATGTGCAAAATATATAAATATTTAAAATCTTTTTACCTGATTTCATAAAATCATTTAAATGAAAAATTTCCCAAAGGCATAAAACTTAACCCACTGAGTTTAATTTAAGAAAAAACTGTTAAACTGATGGTTACAGGGTAGGGAGGGGGATGAGTGAAATAGGTGATGGGGATGAAGGAGGGCACTTGTCCTGATGAGCACTGGGTGATGTATGTATGAAGTGTTGAATCACTGTATTGTACACCTGAAACTAACATTACACTGTATGTTAACTTATTAAGATTAAAATAAATTTTTTTCAAAAATAAAAATAATTAAATAAACTTTTTAAAAGATATAAATTACCTAGTTATATAGAAACTAGACTGGAAATACATAACTAATAAATACTAGACTCTAGGGGCACCTGAGTGGGTCAGTCAGTTAAGTGTCTGCCTTTGGCTCAGGTCATGACCCCAGAGTTCCAGATCAAGCCCCTTGTCATCTGGGTTCCTGCTCAGCAGGGAGTCTGCTTCTCCCTTCTGCCCCTCACCCTACTCATGCTCTCTCTCACATGCACTCTCTCTCTCTCAAATAAATGAATAAAAATATTTTTAAAAAATACTAGACTCTATAAATACTAGACCATACAGTCAACATTTAAAATAGCAATATTTTGGGTCTGTAAAAACAAATTATATTTCTTATTTTCAACTAAATTAGATTTGTGGTTTCAAAAGACAGTGAAAAAGGACAGTCAAATCATTGTATCTTTTACTGGAAATTCCCAGGTCAAAAGTTAATTTTATCTGTACAGTTAAATATTTAGAGAACTCTGAGAACAGAAATAGACCTAGTGCCTGCAAAATTAAAAAGCAAATCTATATATCATACACTTACAGAAACAAAACTACACACATGGATCCACAAAATACACAGAATTTGCTGAAAAATGCATCATGTTGATGCCTCCAGTAATGTAAAAACAATCAGAAAGGGAGAGATAATATTACCTCTGGCAGAAAACCACATAAGGAAAAGGAAATATTAGCAGCACCACAAAGATTCATGGTTTTCAAAGTTTTTTATTGCATATACACTATTCAATACATTTATTGAACATATTCAATATTTTATGCATTATATTTTTCATTAAATATAAGTTTTAGACTTATAGTCATTGCTGATAATTGCATTTATAAATTAAATAAAGGCCTTTATTGCTATTTTCACTTTGAAATCAGGGAGAGGTTGGTGAATTGAAATGATTTCTTCTAGAGTCCATCGTCTAGAGGGGAAGGGGTGGGGGGATAGGTTAGCCTGGTGACGGGTATTACAGAGGGCACGGTCTGCGTGGAGCGCTGGGCGTTATGCACAAACAATGAATCATGGAACACTACATCAAAAACTAATGATGTAATGTAGGGTGATTAACATAACAATAAACGAAATTTAAAGAAAAAAAAGAAGAAGATAGCAGGAGGGGAAGAATGAAGGGGGGGAAATCAGAGTGGGAAACAAACC